GGGCATCTCAAACTTGTCTCGCTCACTGCACCATGAGAAATCGGCCCAAAAGGCATTCGCCATTTTACGGATGATCCGGCGCACCTTCTTCCGTATTACTCGCATGGATTTACAAATACTCTATGGAGCCTACGTCAGACCGCTCCTGGATTACGCCAACCAAGTTGTCTACTCAGGACGCACGAAAGACATCACCCTCATTGAGCGTGCTCAGCGGGCCGCTACGAGAATGGTTACCGGCCTGAAGTCCGTGGACTACGAAACGCGTCTCGCGATGCTTGCCTTAGCGGCTAAAGGCCATTTGGTTGTATTTGGCGGACCAAAGCACTGAAACAGTACGTTTTCTGCTTCTCTTGGTGGCACCTGACGTTGCAACCTGCGTTCACATGTCCACTGGCTGATTTAATGCAGGTGCGCGGCTTATCGACCACCTAATTTCTGGGTCTCTTGCGATTACCCATTTTTAGGATGGTTTGAACCTAATTAATGGAATAGCTTCCATCCTTCTGGATAGCTCATGCTTCGTTGTACTGTGCATCTGTAAAGAAACACTGCATTAGCTTGGTGTAATTTCTGGACGACAGCCTGAAAGCCCCCAAACCCAACTTCGCTGGTGAATAAAAATAAGTATTTATGGAAGTTTTGTACGGCAGGCGCGCCGGATCCGCTTATGATGTTCGGAGGTTCCCCGAACTGGAAAGCTCAATGACCAAAGCCGAGAACTTGAAAGAAGGTACCGTATAGCATGTTCCATCGTGCGTATTCGGTGAACACAGGCCAGTGAAATACAAGGTGAACCTGAACCAAGAATCCTAGGCAAAGGGCTTGACATCGCAGATTACTTTCCAAGTTCGCGAACAGTATGTGTCAACAGCTCCGTCTGGCAAACATGAATTATTATTGTTTTTGTGGTCTTCAGCTTTTATCGTCCTATTCAAAACTTTGTGCGACCGCAGAGAGTACCGATCGATTTCCAAGAGTACACTCGAAATTCCGTTAAAAGCAAATTTTGAGAAAAGGAAACTTCCAAGCACAGGTAATCTTTTGACGATATTAGCGCGAGGTTTTAAAACCGCCCGAAAGTAAAATTTTCGGTAAATTCTGTTCGAACGCTCTCAAGGTGTACACATGGCTCCAAATTTATATTTTTATTGCCCTCCATGGCTCGCCATGGTGTGTGTAAAGGCGGTTGAATATTTTCTGCAAAAATTAGTCCCCCATCTATCACCTCTTAAGGGCACTTGAAAATGGTCTGATAAATTGTGAAAAACCAATTGTTTTTCCTGCGTAAACAGGAATAAACAGCAATTTTCTATTTTATCGTTGCAGAAGGCGTCCAGCCAGATAAGTCCAAAGCCGCTGAATTCTCCGCTGTGCGTGCGGTGGATTTTATGACCAACGGTGCATGTCGCGCTGAATGCACGGCGGGGTTAAACTTTCGCCTATATATTGACCCCTTGATAATATCTTTCACCCGAAGTACGACCCTTTTATGCAAGTTTCATTTAAAGACTAGCCGTCAACCGAAGCCTGAAACCCAACGAACTGCTTCTTGAATACGCCACTAAAGTTGCATAACTGAGGCACAAGCGAGACATAACGTTAGTAGAGCGTGTCCAAAAGGTAGTAAATAAAATGGCTGCCAGCCTTAAATCCGTGGGCTGTGAAACGCGTCTCCCGATTCTTGACCTCTTTTTCATAGAGTATCGTCTTACTAGTGGGACCAATTACTTAATTATACACAGTTTGAAAAGGGCTTGGAAAACAGGCTCTTTACTGTTGGCCCAGTAGAATCACGGAGGGATGCGGTTGGAAGATTTTCACGCCCAGACCGCACACCTTTAATAGACAACAATTTTCCACGCTTCCGGTCGTTGGCGAGTGGAATGACCTTCGTCTGACTGTTGTTCACGTCACATCCAGAACCCGGTTCGGAGCACTTCGGGACACTTTTGACTGAGCACTTGTGCTGGCAATACTACCGCTCAGCGCTGAAAAATTAAACAACAGACGTTGTAAGACAGTCGTTCTCAACCTGTGTGGTGGTTTACACCAATAGACAGCCTCCGCCTGTGGTCCCAGTTGCGTACCAACTGACTACGCTGATCAGAAAAACTTATTGCCCTTTCACGGCCCCTGCTGTGATAATAATCTATATAAGCTGCCGGCGCGTTCATTGTGTGCGCATAAAGCATTCAAACCATTCCATCAATCACCGAACTTCCTGAATTCTGCACGTGACTCACAAGTTGATAGCAACTTTGATTGATTTTTCAATGAATGAGCGCGCCCCGGGTTCTTTTCAGGCACGTATGACTGTACTGCTACCTTGACGAACTATTCTTCTGGGTTTGCTGCCAGGATTCTGCAGGCTTCAAGCCCAACCGTACCCGAAGGCTAATGGAAAACAATCAGAACGGCAGCAGTAAGCCTGGTTCTGTTTAAATCATTTTGTATGTTTACTCGTCGAAAAAAATTACTGATGAGGCTTGATACAGACGTTAAATGGAATGCCGGGTACGTACGCTGGCACATGTTCTGAAGTCTAATCCTGCACTCTGCGACGCTGATTGGTATATGTTTTGAAGACGA